CCTTCCACTGAACAACATTAAATTTGATTAATGGGTGATTAAAACCAACACAAAACTGGATACTAAACTTCAGCACAAAATCTAGTCTGCTGGAAATTCTGCTCATTTGTAAGTACTAATTCTTCATTTAAAAATAAATATATAAATAAATATAAAAAGGGGTGAGTAGAGCAACCGGCTGTGAATGTGGACTGAAAAATACCATAGGGGTGAGGTACAGGATCACAGTGACAAACTAAATATAAGTCTGTTCCAATAGGATGGACAAATCCCCTCATGCTCTGCCCCCTAACCAGCCCTCAGCTCTAAGCTGATGTCATCCTGAGACTGGGGCGATAACCCCAGAGAGCAGAGTGAGGGCAGGAAATGCTTTCCTTTCCCAAGCCAAGCAGCCTCCTCTGCACATGACTACCCTGATTCTCCTAATGTTACTCATTAATGAGTCTGAAGGGCTGGGCTTATTTGATCTGGATTAAACCTGATAACCAGAATGTTAAACCATGAGCACAGATTCATGATTAATAGGAAGAGATGCAAATAATGGCAAGCAATAGGGCAGAAACACATGTGCAAAACACAGCTGGGAATATGTGATTGATTAATTAATTAATTATTATTATTTTTGTAATTAATACATTACCACATTGTTTATTAAAAAAATTAATTATTGGGTTCAGAAATGTGTGAGGATGTCACATATAAAATGTGTGTGAATAGTATAAAATACATGGATTTTTACACTTTGCTCATCTCACTCTTAAAACATTTTTTCTTTTAAATAAAAAATAAGTATAATTCAAACATTAAATGCAAAAAATGAATATAATATAATATAATATAATGGAGTCTGTAAGATTACAATTTTGATCAAATATACAGTAAAACAGTTTTTTTTAAAACAGTATTTTAATATAATTTAAAATTAAAGCAATTTTCTATTTGAATATATTTTAAAATATCATGTATTTCTGTGATGGCAAAACTGAATTTTCAACAGCCATTACTCCAGTCTTCAGAATCACATGATCCTTCAGAAATAATTATAATATGATGATTTGGTGCATAAGAAACATTGAAAACATGCTGAAAACAGTTGTGCTGCTTAATATTATTGTGGAAATCGTAATTTTTCAGGATTCTTTAAAAATAAAAAACAAAACAAAAAACAGCATTTATTTTAAATAGAAATCATTTGTACCAAAAATGTACAAACTATCACTTTACTATCCCTTTTGATTGATTTAATGCATCCTTGCTGAATAAAAGTATTAATTTCTTAATAATTTCACTTTTTTAAAGTATTAATAAAAAACTTACACCAAGTATGTATGCATCTGCTGGTGTGATTAACTCTTTCAGACTGAACACGGGGTGAGATCTGTTATAAATGCAGAATCTCTGCCAGTGTCTGACATGAAAGAGATAAAGAGAGTGAAAGAGAGTGACTGCAGGCAGCAGAAAAGTGAAGACTGTGGGTGATGAATGCAGAGCACAACTCCAACTGTGATAGCAATCACTCGTATGCCAGCAACTCACTTCAGCCTCAGGGCTGACAGCGACACATCTCTCACTTCCTGTGTATGTGTCTAGCCTGTGGACGGGTCACTACAGCCATGACCTACGCAATTAACCCACATGAAGTATGAGACTACATAAAATATTGTTGTTTTAGACACTCGCGACCACGCGCAACCTTCACTGACAGGCGTGAGTGCACATGGGCCACGAGACACAGAGAGTAAAAGAAAACACATTTGGAGCATTTGTCATTGTGTCAATCTTTCATTATCACTTTGTATGAACAAATTGAGTTTTTCATAAGCAAATAGTGAAAGACACTGTGCTCTAGCTGAGAGTGGGAGCAGTTTCATCTCTTTCTCTAGTCGATAAAAGAGTCATTTAAAAGGAAGATGCAAAATCTCACTGCGGATGGCAGAAGGAAATATTATTTTCTCTTTATGCACCAAATAGGCCAATAAATCTGAGGGATAGATGATTTTATTTTGAAAACAGTTTGACTAGATGTCCATCAGATGTGATGAAGGTCAGCGCCGGAGAAGTGGTGCTTCTCAGGTTACTTGGATCAGTCTATAGATGAATGGTACTGGGCTCCTGATGAGAACAATTAAGGGCTTGTGTTACTATCTCATCTATATGTGGCTAAGATAAGACTGCATTAATGGGAATGATTCACAGCCACAATCAATACACGGCTGATAATAACAGGCCACAGTGCAGCTCCACTCTCACATAGGGAACAGCAGGATCTGACTGAGGGTTGCTAGGAAGACTGATGACTTAGCAGACCGATTACAAGCAGCACCACCTGTTCTGTCCAAAACCTTCACATGTAATATTTAAAGTAGAGTGGGAATGGAAAAGTAGGGTAAACTTTTTGATGGATATACTATTTAAATGTTGGGGTCAGTAAGAATTCTTATTCAAAGAAATTAATACTTTTATTTGGCAAAGAAATGCTTTCTATTCAACAAAAAATCCTGGAAAAGGGTATTATGGTTTCCACAAAAATATTAAGAACTGTTTTCAACAATGATGATAAGAAATGTTACTTGAGCAGCAACTCAAGCATATTAGAATGATTTCTGAAGGATCATGTGACACTTGTCATGATCTCCAGCTGGAGTGCCCATGAGCTCCTCTAGAGGGCACTCCATTCTGTACCTTGCCATTCACTCAGGACTCCATTTCCCATAATCCTTTGCCCGGACTCATCAAGTGCATCACCTGTCTCTCATCAGATCTCATCATCGGTTCACAGCTGTCTCACATCAGTAGGAACTCATTATTGCACCACACCTGCTTCCTATCAGTGACACTATAAAGGTTGCACTCATTCACACACACATTGCTGATTATTGTTTAGCCTGTACCCTGTTCCGAGTCTCTGCCTCGCCTTGCCTCGCCTCTTGACCTTGCACTGTTTATTGGATTGCTCTTTTGTCTCGCCCTGGATTGTACCTGTTTGCTGGTGTTTGACCCTGCCTGTTTTGACCACTCTAGTGAATAAATGCTGCATTTGGATACTCAACTCCGTTGTCATGCCTCCCACGTTACAACACTGAAGACCGGAGTAATGACTGCAGAAAATTCAGCTTTACCATCACAGGAATAAATTGCATTTTAAAATAGAAAATGGTTATTTTAAATTGTAATAATATTTCACAATATTAGTGTTTTTTTATTTATTTTTTTTACTGTATTTTTGATCACATTTATAAAGCCTAGGTGAGCTTAAGAAACTTCTTTCAAAACATAAAGTAAAGACTCCAAACTTTTTAATGGTAGTGTATTTCAATTCCATGTCGGACTCGTTTGTACTGAAATTGAATGCAACAGAATATTCCAGAACTAGAAATATGCATATTCAACACAGACATTGTTATGAAAAGGCACATCAGTTCACTGACACAACCCCCCTTTTTTTCTCTCACACAGACAATAACAAACATGACCTTAAAAATATTAACTTTTATGAGTTAAACCAGATTACTCAGGATTATCTAAACTCAGAATGCAATGGACATTAAAAAGCACAAGTATTTAAAAATGGTCTTTAGTTCATAAATGAGAATACTGAGAGAATGAAGATATTTTGTACAGTTTGTTAGTGCTTTTCTAAATTGATGAGCACAAAGCGGACTCATGGATCATTAAACATATTATTTTTGCATAACACACTTCATAATGGTTTATTCTCGGTGCCCTATTTAGACACGAGGGCTTAGAGAGCCTGACTTGAAATCAAAAACAAATTTCATGGATGATATTTACAGTAATTTGTTGTTGTGGTCTATTGTGATGAAGGTATTGATGATCATAATGCTGTTTTGATCAAAGTCAGAAAATCTCAACAAATATGTAACCAGTTTACAACTTTATCATTTACCATATTTAATATATCAAAATAAAAATCTCATCTGTCAACAGTTTGGCATGTAACTATGTCATACTAGCTCCAAGAAAAGCAGTTTCAATTCTCAAACTGAGGGATGGAGCTGAAACTCAACTTGTTGTTGTTTTTTTCCTTTTATATCTAATAAGCCATTTTGTATGAAACAAAATTTGTATATGTACTGTATGCATATAAATCAATATTTCAGGTTTTGGGTTGGACAAAATAATGTGAACACCTATTATTATAAGGATTCAGATTATCTGTGTAGACAACAGTGAAAAAAATGTATATTTTCATTGTCTATATTGTCCAGGTTGTATACGAGTGAAGTTTAAGTTGTGGATGAAATGGGTGATGTGTTAGACTTCCAAAAAGGGCAAATCAGGGTAACCCCTCTTAGCAGGATCTTCTGTAACTTTAAGGGCCTGATAGTTTGGAGTTTTAAGAACAACAGTATTTACCATTTTGACTATGTACACAAAGCATGGCAAGACTTCATCAGCAAAAAAAAAAAAAAAAGAAAGAATAGGAGGCGAAAACCGCAAGTGAATGATAGGGACCGTAAAAGGATTGTGTCCAAAGAAACACAAAACTACTGCAACAAAGTAAGAGCAAACCTCATTATTCACATTGAAGACCTTGTTTTCACTAAAACTGACCACAGAGAACTTCACAAAGCCAATTATGGTCACCAATGCTAAAAAAAAAGGATGGTGTTATGATCATAAAACCTGGACAGTTGAAGCACCAAGATGAACTTCAACATCTGTCCTGACCAGACAAATCACCTGACTTGAACATTATCAAACCACTGTGGGTAGATTTGGAGAGAAGAGTGAAGAGCAGATTCCCTCCTTCAACATCTCTGAAGCAACTGGCGGACGTTCTGATAGACAATGTATGAATCTATTCGATGAAGGTTAGAAGGTATATTAAAGGCAAATAGTGGTAAACACTTAAATAAAGAAATACTGCCTATTTCCAAGGTGTTCACATTATTTTGTTCAACCCCTGTACTTGATAAATAAGAAAAGGCTGTTTTGGACTGGACTAAATAAAACGTACACCTGGCAGCTGATCTTACCTGTATTTTGATTGGCCATGAAAAGTTGCTGACATAAACATGGAAAGTAATGTTGGGATTTGCAAGGAAGGAGAATGTATCAGAGGAGAAGCTGTCTCTGTATTCTTTGATGTTAGTCTTGGACACTATGGGGAATTCCTCCCCGGAGATCGTACCCGCTGCAGGGACACAAAACACAGCGTCAGCAAAGTGCACGTCAGCCAACAACAACACCCGCATACAAAACCTTCTGCAAGATTAAATATGGCATAACATTCTGATCAACCCTGCAACTATAAAACATCTGAATAATGCATCTCAATAAAGCCATTGTAAGGAGCCGTACTTGAATACCAACAGGATCAATAGTGAAACTATCATGAAAAAAGCCTAAAAACTTCAAGCTTCTTGCCGCTTCTCGAAACATTTGAACAGATTAAATGGTTAATAGTGAATACAAGGTCTATCATAAAACAGTAAATCTCGAACCACAAATGAAAATGAACATCAGTCAGTCTATACTGATGATTCCCAGATGATCCATTCAGAGGCTGTTCCATTAAGTATGACAGAAAGAAAAACTGATTTATTTTAGTTAGTTAGCAATTAATCACAATGCAAAATGTGACTTTTCCATTAACCACTCAGACTTCTTTTAATATGCTCTCACACTTGTCTAGTGATCATTGGGAGTCTGGTTTATCTGTGTCTATAGGGCATATATCTATAACACTTCTCCACATATCTGCTTGTCCTAAAGGTTTATTCAAACAGCAACAAAATGAAAAACAATTTAACTTAGGCATTTGCCTGTGCAAGAGCACTGCCTGTTTATCTTAATTGAAATCAAAAGCATTTTATGAATGCCCTGACAAACAGAATCCCATAGCCTTCCTATACTTACTTTGTTCAGCCAGGACTATTTCACAAAGTAATTCTTTCTTTTGGGATTTCATTTTATTCTGAAATATTACATGAAATACAATAGCATGAAATACTTTACCTGTTGAGCCAATAGACCATGTTATGTTGAGGTTGAAATTGTTAGACGCATTAATTGACATATCAAGGTTCTTATTGGTCTGCAAAACAAACAACATGACAACAACAACAAAAATATTTAGCGGCAATAAAAAGTTCACAGTATTTTTTTTATCATATTATTAACAATAATGTTGACTTCTTTTTAACCATCATGTTGTGTGCTCCAGTCATCTCCTGAAAATAGCTCATCAAAAAAAATAGCATAGATTTCCTCTTGTGCTATATTATTCCCAAATATTGGATACATTTTTAAAAGGCCAGCCACAGCAAATTGGGTACAGGATTTTCAGCACAGCATAAGGGTTAAATTTAGAATAATAGGTTATAATATTATATTCTAATGCCTTTAATATATCATTTAATTATCACAATAATTTACTAAATGAAATATGATCATTTGAAAATCCTGCTTCACATAAAAGTGTTGTAACCATCAACTTATTGCCTGTGATTGTTATGCCACATAGTAATTTCGCAAAATTGTGTGGACAAAAAATGTCTTGTTGCAGGAAACCTGACATATTACGTCTGCTTAGGACACAAATTTGGGCTCTGCAAATATGTTTTTTTGGGAATACACTAGGGTTGCACAATATTATCGGACTGATATCAGAACCAGCCGATAATGACTTTAAATGTAAATATCGGCATCGGCCCGATATGAAAAATTATGCTGATATGTCTTGCCAATAAGAGGAATACTGTTGTGTGCTCCAGTCATCTCCTGAAAATAGCTCATCAAAAAAAATAGCATAGATTTCCTCTTGTGCTATATTATTCCCAAATATTGGATACATTTTTAAAAGGCCAGCCACAGCAAATTGGGTACAGGATTTTCAGCACAGCATAAGGGTTAAATTTAGAATAATAGGTTATAATATTATATTCTAATGCCTTTAATATATCATTTAATTATCACAATAATTTACTAAATGAAATATGATCATTTGAAAATCCTGCTTCACATAAAAGTGTTGTAACCATCAACTTATTGCCTGTGATTGTTATGCCACATAGTAATTTCGCAAAATTGTGTGGACAAAAAATGTCTTGTTGCAGGAAACCTGACATATTACGTCTGCTTAGGACACAAATTTGGGCTCTGCAAATATGTTTTTTTGGGAATACACTAGGGTTGCACAATATTATCGGACTGATATCAGAACCAGCCGATAATGACTTTAAATGTAAATATCGGCATCGGCCCGATATGAAAAATTATGCTGATATGTCTTGCCAATAAGAGGAATACCTTAACTCACATGTGCTCAGGGTGTGCTAGTGATTAGATCCCGTCAGCAGTGTGGCTCATTCTTCTTCTCGAATTTTTGTCTGAATGATGATTAGATTGTGCTGCATTGCGCTCACGTTAACGGATTAATAAAGTGTTCACACTGCACACGGTTGCTGTCCAGCAGTGCGTTCCAGTAGCGGTGCGTCTGCAGCAGTGCAGATCGTTTCTGCACCGAGTCTATTTTTGCTGTGCTGCAAGCGCTGAATTAAAGTAACAGCGCAATTTTTGCAGTAAATGTGAACATGGATTGGCACGAAAATGTAGTAATTACACCATAAATGCATATTATTAAAGTCTACTGTGTTAAAAGAGCACTTTTAGATAAACAAGGCAATAATAGATGGCACTTGGGGAGGTATGAAAACAAAGTTCTTTATCAACGGGCAGGATTGCATGTAATAAATATTTAAATGCAAAAGGAAAGGCAGTAGAGCTGACTATTTCTGTCAATGGTAAGTCTGTGATAACGTAAGAAAAGTAGTTTAAATGTTTTGCCACTTGCTTGAGCAACTTAATATATAAATCTAGAAGTGCAAAAGTAAAAAGCATTGAATAATGTGTTGCTTATATTTATTGTGTTTAAACGTATCTGTGAAAGATTGTATTACTGTACTGTGTAAAAAAAGAATTGCAATGCTGAAAAAGCATTTTCAGTGACAATGTTTGGATTTGAAATCAAAATAATGCATAAATGTTGTGTTTGTGGTAAACAGCCACGGATCAGTAGCGGACTCCTGTGTGAAAGCTGCTTCCCCTCTCACAAGAGTCACCTAAGAGGGGAATTCCCCCCATTTTCAAAAATGAAATTCAGGCCCTGAATAAATGTCTAAAAATCCTGATTGGAGTATCACTATAAATAGTTATAAATGATAAAAAGAAGGCTTTAAAAAGATCTGTATCGGTGATCGGTATCGGCAGATACTGCTTTCTGTGATCGGCGATCGGGCCTCAAAAATCCTGATCGGAGCACCCCTAGTTAAAGCTTCAATGTACTGTCAAAAAAACCTTCATTGTTGTTTATTTAATTCTAACAAATAAGTTATTGTTAAAAACTAACCAAAATGTAAAATATTTTGCTTATAATTTCTGCACAGGAGAGACTTGGTGTTGTTTCCAAACAAAAGGAAATATATCGGTATCGGTCAAAATGAGTTGAATAATATCGGTAAATCAGTTATCGGTAAAAATCAAATATAGTGCATCCCTAGAATACACAAAGCCAGATACAAATTGCTCATGCCCATTTCATTTGTGAACACGATGCAAATTCACTGACCTCTTCCGGAGTCGCCATGAAGTTAATGGCTCTGTAATGCTGATCATCCTCCTGAAGCAGACTAAAGGTGAACTGGTAGTCTATCAGAAGATTATCTAGTCAGGTGGAGGAAAAAAACAAACACACACACACACATAAATTGTATTTGGAATTTATACGTCAAATTGTTTCAGCATAAAAATCATGATTATGTTAGTTAGAAAGTGATTCCTTGAAAAATGTTGAAAGCACAACATCATGGCAATCACAGCTATTCTTCAAAGTAAAACAAACTCATTGGGAGAGAGAAGTAATTGTGATATGAAGGACTTTTTGACAGCTCACATCTGCACGAGCAACTAAAGGTCAACTTGTCCAATTCAGTTGTGAAGAAGGCATATGATTAAATAGCAGAGGAAGGCTGAGGATTGATTTGATTGTCCAATGGGTCAAAATTAATATCAACTCTGTCGAGGGAAGAAAACACTGAACTGTCATTGACATTATTGCACAAAAAAATGAAAAAGCTTTAGCTGGATTCTAGTTATCATTTGTGACCGTCATTTTTTTTCATTAAAAAATAATGGTGTTTTTTTGTGATTACAGTTCAATTTATTGCTAATCTAAATCATCATGACCTTGATAACACGTCATCAACCCTTAAATGAGCATTTGCAATCTAGCAAAACAAATCAAACTCTTTCTGATCCCACACCAATCCAAGAAAAACTTCCAGGCCTTGTTCACAAGATGTTTATCTCTGCATATCCATGCATGACGTAGGAAATTCACACTAAACCATAGCATACTGGGAGATGTTCACAGAAAGCGAGCGAAACGAAAGGATATTAGCTTCAACAAATAGCCGTGTTCATTCCACAAACCACAGAGAGAAGGAGAATTACCGCAGATCAGATCAAAGCAGCCATCTTGAGCTTATCTCTTCCTCTGACCACTCAGTACCCTCCGTTGTCATAGAAATAGAGAGATTCTTGCAGGTTCTCTCTCTCTTTTTCTGCTTGTTCTTGCCCCAGGTACACAGCAAAGCTATGTTTATCCCATAAGGGTCTTTTGGTAAACTTCAGAGAGTTTTTCAATCCCGTGAAGAGGAAAATAAGAGCGGAAAATCTAAAAGGGAGATCAACAGGCTGCTTTGGTTTGTAGGATATACATGTAGTTATGTCTATGGTGCTAGAGAGGACACTTAGAGCTATTTATTTCCCACTCTTTTAGACTTCCTGCTGTGACGATATTAATACTTTTGAGTGTGCATCTGTGTTCACTTGCATGACTGTATTTATATGTGTGCATGAGGGAATGCTTATCAATAGATCATCAAGCACAATGTTAATATTAAACAAACCTAAATAACAATACAATTAAATATTTTACTGACTCCAACATTTTTGCATTCATTCAGCTATAATAAGCCAATTAATTGTACAAATTTAGCCAGTACATCAAATTTCCCCTTGAGAGAAATCATAGAAGACTAAATAATGTGGTTATTTTGTGGTAATTTAATTCAGCAAAATTGTATGAAAACATGTGCTGCTTTTCTATTTCAGAGGAATGAAATTATTAACATATGAGGTTATTAACCTTTCATGAACTCTGGAATATTTTCACCATCATTTTATAAAACAAAACATACATAAGAAGCCAAAAGAGGACGTTCTGATTACAACTGACAACATCACTGTCATCTCGTGACATGCTCTGGTTATGAAATACACACATTTATTTACAATACATAATTTAATAAAGCTATTACAGGAACCTCAAATAACAGTCTCATCAAGCCAAAGTATATTTTCCTCTAAACATCCTGCAGAACACATTTCATTTCCAGGTTCGGAGGTCTGAAATGAAGCAATAACAGAAAGTCATCCCTGGCAAATGGGATCTAGGTATTTTATTTAATGTCTTTTACCATAAACGTTATCATCCTCAATTTTGGAACACCTTGCTGGCGGTAATGAGAACAGCGTAGAGTTAAGGACATCTGGAGTCGTCTTTTTTAGAAGCAGGAAGGAAAATGGCACACTGCCCTTAAATAATAAGCTGAAACAAAGTATCAAATTATTTTAAATAATAAGCTGAAACAAAGTATCAAATTATTTATATATATATATAACCGCAGATCAGATCAAAGCAGCCATCTTGAGTTTATCTCTTCCTCTGACCACTCAGTACCCTCCGTTGTCATAGAAATAGAGAGATTCTTGCAGGTTCTCTCTCTCTTTTTCAGCTTGTTCTTGCCCCAGGTACACAGCAAAGCTATGTTTATCCCATAAGGGTCTTTTGGTAAACTTCAGAGAGTTTTTCAATCCCGTGAAGAGGAAAATAAGAGCGGAAAATCTAAAAGGGAGATCAACAGGCTGCTTTGGTTTGTAGGATATACATGTAGTTATGTCTATGGTGCTAGAGAGGACACTTAGAGCTATTTATTTCCCACTCTTTTAGACTTCCTGCTGTGACGATATTAATACTTTTGAGTGTGCATCTGTGTTCACTTGCATGACTGTATTTATATGTGTGCATGAGGGAATGCTTATCAATAGATCATCAAGCACAATGTTAATATTAAACAAACCTAAATAACAATACAATTAAATATTTTACTGACTCCAACATTTTTGCATTCATTCAGCTATAATAAGCCAATTAATTGTACAAATTTAGCCAGTACATCAAATTTCCCCTTGAGAGAAATCATAGAAGACTAAATAATGTGGTTATTTTGTGGTAATTTAATTCAGCAAAATTGTATGAAAACATGTGCTGCTTTTCTATTTCAGAGGAATGAAATTATTAACATATGAGGTTATTAACCTTTCATGAACTCTGGAATATTTTCACCATCATTTTATAAAACAAAACATACATAAGAAGCCAAAAGAGGACGTTCTGATTACAACTGACAACATCACTGTCATCTCGTGACATGCTCTGGTTATGAAATACACACATTTATTTACAATACATAATTTAATAAAGCTATTACAGGAACCTCAAATAACAGTCTCATCAAGCCAAAGTATATTTTCCTCTAAACATCCTGCAGAACACATTTCATTTCCAGGTTCGGAGGTCTGAAATGAAGCAATAACAGAAAGTCATCCCTGGCAAATGGGATCTAGGTATTTTATTTAATGTCTTTTACCATAAACGTTATCATCCTCAATTTTGGAACACCTTGCTGGCGGTAATGAGAACAGCGTAGAGTTAGGGACATCTGGAGTCGTCTTTTTTAGAAGCAGGAAGGAAAATGGCACACTGCCCTTAAATAATAAGCTGAAACAAAGTATCAAATTATTTATATATATATATATATATATATATATACATATACATAATTTGATATGTTTTGATAAGCTTGCTGCTTTACATTTAAACGGCTGATTAGCATTCACTACAGCATTTCGCAGCGCGCTTTCAGAGTTCCTCTGAAACCCTTCACCTTCCCCAGTTCCACCTGTATAGATCTGCTTTGGGTTATTATATGTGCTATTTGTGCAGCAGCAGTACGTCTTAAATATTCACAGCACCGTATCGGCGTATGTATTGGCAGTAGCAAGTTCCTGTACTTGTAGCAGCAGCAATAATCTACAACAACAGCAATAACCAACAGCAGCAGCAATTCAGCAGTGTAGCAGATCTATTCCGCCAAATACATTAACAATGTGATATCCATTACCATGCTAAAATCTTCAGAGAGTTGTCATGATAGAAATGCTTTTTTGCTCATGTGTACCAAAACTCAAAATACTATCTTAATTGTAGTCATTTGGCATGTTTTGAATGTCATACTACTATTTTTGCAGTATGCAGTGTATGCATGATATGTAACTTTTTGTTCTGCCAAATTGTGCAGTACACAGCTTGAATGCACTTAACTTGACTATTATATTTCTAGAGTGACAAATAATCTGGGCACAATATCAACCAACATCTCCATTATCACTGACTATCTGCAGTGACTTCATTTGAAAGCCCTTATTATATTTTAAAGAGGCATAAATAGAAATAATCAATTGACATTAGAGGTTCTGGATTGATTGCATCACAGCTTTATCTTAACATCAATTTATTTTCCATATCATCAGTATGACCAAAATACAATAAAAAAATGAAAATCCTATTTCATCCTCATGCACTGTAACATTGTCTTGATTGGAGAAAGATACCTACATCTAAGGCTTAAAGCCAATACAATTATTTTAAGAAAATAAGATAAGGCCCTTAGATGTCCAAATAAAAGTGCCTTTGTGTGCAAGCACAAAACAGTCTGACTAAAAGTATTTAGCTGTCTAGGCAGAATGCCTGATTAGCTTTTGATGAGGGGCCTGAGGATGTCTGCTAGTGTCTGTCTGGTTGGTGGGACACTCATTTGGGTATGTGTTTAAAGCAGTAGTTATGGCTTTGATTCAGGCTGAAGGAAGTTAGCTGTCGATCAGTGTGTAAGGCATAATTATCTTTTTAGGGGTTCTTAATATATTTTCGTTGTTAAGAGTTTTAGAGCTGTCTTTAACGAATCATGGACTTGAGTTAAAGTACAATATGGTTCAAAGGTTTGGGGTTGGTAAGATTTTTTTTTTTTTTAGTCTTTCATACACACAAAGGCATTTATTCGATCAAAAATAAGAGTCAAAACATTAATATTGTGTAATATTACAACAATTTAAGATTTTCTGTCTTTAATATATTTGGAAATGTGTTTCTTTTTCCTATGATTGCAAAGCTGAATTTTGAGTCAGACATGCCAAATTCAGTGAGTTGCTGCCTAGATCATCCAGTCAATCATCCATCATCGTTCGATGTGATCTGTAAGCTATTTCAATAGGTTCACAGAAAAGAACTCACTCAAAAGAATGATTTGTACACAAACTGGAAATCACATTCAAGCAGGCCTTGATTTCTTCAATGGATTTATATGATGTTTTATGTTTTTTCCCCCTGAAATTTAATCGAGCAAAAATGAAGAAAAGATTTCCCAAAAGAATAAAACAATTCTAATAGTGTGAAAGTACAGTAAAAAATACTTTATTACAGTTCACCACTGCTATGTACTATTAGAATATTATACAATATGGTAAATATGACTTCTATTATGATAAAGACAACGAATTGATGACAGTTTTGACTGCACAACATTTATCATCATGCATGTGGCAATTGCAATATGGCCCTAATGACACTGGAGGTCAGACTGTAATAAATAGCAATCCATTGCGTTAGTCAAGGAGACGTTCAATTACCATTACGGTGAGTTGCATTTATCGTCATCATTAGAATTACCATGTTTGATGGCCCTTGATTTTTCTCCTTTTGATAACATACATTAGTGTGTTCAAGGCTGGTTGAATTAGCCTGTTACAAAGCAGAAGCGTAAACATCAATCCCAGTCAGTGGGTAAATGTCACTGACGTTCCCTTGGGGAGTTAAGACTTGTCTCGCTCCGAATTGCCTCTCCTCCATGGCTTTAATTGGTCAAATTAGTGAGTGTGTCCGCCCCGCATATTTGAAGCCGGACAACTGAATGACCGCACATGTGTGATGAAATCCATAGTGACAGAGTGATGGGAGCAGCGCTAGTAAGAGATAACAGCTGGATGATGGGAGTGTGAGGTGCTGCTTGTGGTTGCTGGGATGTGTGTGTGTTTATATGTGTTTGACTGTGAGAGAGATTGCAGGCCAGCTGCAGTGTACACTTTAGCGTTTAGTACACCATACAAGGAGTATGAAATGAAGAAGAACAGATGCTTTAATCTGAACTTGAGAGTAATCATAGATACTACAGAGGTTATTTTGACTAATATCAGATGCCTTACGCCATGTGCTGTGAGTTTAACGTGCATTTGGGAACACAGCGTGTGCCAGGTTCACTTTAACATTATAGTGGACAGAAGTTTACTGCATTTCACCAATATTCCACCAAAATAAGAGTGTGAGGCTTGAAATGTTAAAAGCTTGAGGGTTTGAACATCTGAAAGTGATGTGAGACATAATTATTAATATTGTGTGTGTGTATATATATATATATTCAGTGAGTTGCTGCCTGGATCATCCATTCAGTTAGTGAAAGAATCATTCAATGTGATCTGTGAGCTATTTCAATATATATATGGTAAGTCAAAAGTATTATTGGTAAGGTAAAACTCACAATAATAATAATAATAATAATTATTATTATTATTATTTAATTTGATAAGGTTTCTAAAACACCATTGTGACCATTAACCGACATCAGAGAACATTGAACGTTAATTTAAAATTAAATTATTGAAATATATTATCTTAGAATCTCAGGTGGTATACTTCAAGTAAATATTTTACATGTAAGCAGTATAGCTGACAAAAAAAAAACATTTGGGAACCACTATCTTATGGTTTGCAAATTCAGACAGCTAAAACTTATTGGTTTATTTAGAAAAAAAAATGTTTTGTACCCTTTTTTTCTTTTGTGAGAAACAACATGAGGGTGAGTAATTGACAATTTTAGAATGTAAAGTCACATGTGTGTATTTATCTGCATTTTACAACAGAACATCCAATGGGAATCCTCTTTATAATTCGTGTTTCATTTCAGATGGAAAGAGGGGAGATGCTTGAAAGGATTTGTTGACCACAGGAGGATATGATGCAGTGCGCTATCAATCATGAAGTGATATAACAGTATTGTGCTGCAGAGACTAGAGGGGAGGTCAATTATAAATAATGCATTGGTAGTAAATCCTCCTATATACAGGGAAAGTGAGTCTGATCTGCTCATAAAAGCCTTGCAAACCCCTCACACGCGCTTTTGACACACAGTCATCTCTTATGTGTGTTGATTAATCATAATACTGAGAACCTTTCTGCCACAAGGCACCTTTTGCCTTTGTAGTGCAGTAGATAACACAAATGTCTGGGTAACCAACAGAAACCTCAGATGTCCAAAAAAAAAAAAGAAAAGAAAAAGTGTTTAGAAGCAAGAGTCACACAAATTGCTAAGAACAGAATGGATCACCTACTGATGATTTTGCGTCCATTAAAACAAATGGGCTGTCTGGATGTGCTCTGCTTATCTGAGTCTATAATCAAATGGAGCTTAGTTTAAAAAACATTCATTGGTGGCATTGAAGGGCTGTTTACGTAAGCTTGGTTTGGTTGGTCAAATCTGGTCTGGGATGGAATTTCTGGGAAAGTGGTAGTGACAAGAGTAATGATTTAGAACAGCTTCTTTCTTTCTTTTTTTCTTTGAGTACTGACTTAGTTTAATTTCCTACTGTCTTGAAGTTTGTGTGGATGAGCTCTCAATCATATTCAAGAGAACCTGTGACTGCTGCTCCTGAAGATGATGGTTCTGTTCTGTGGCTGTGTCATTTTCTGTATATCTTTTCCTATTTTGTGGACGGATGAAGTTATGACCGCTCTAAACTGTTAAATCGTGAAAACTGGACTAGTACTAGAGCTGTAAGGCTGCCATCTAGTGCTCTGAATGTAAACTAAATCTATACTGTGTGTGAGACAGAGATTTTCTGTGATAGACAGAGAATGCTAAGCAGGCAGAGCTAGAGATACAAAGCACAACAGCTTGACATAAACATCATGGATTACTGCAAAATTGTTGCTTGTAATCACATAATAACTAATGTTGACTAAAGTTGTGGCACAGTGAGTGGCGCACATGTTCACAACATGTAAGAGTAACAGTGCTCAAGAGATTCGGGATTTAATTCTTAAGTTAAAAATAATAATAATAGTAATAAATTGTGCTAAAAATTGAGGGCTTAAAAACAACAACTTGTACATTGTAACTGATGCACATTCTGGACATGCATTAATGGCACCTGTGAAAATAGTCTAAAAATATAAAGTCCTTTCATTACAAAATAGAATAAAAATAAAATATAAGGAAATAACATAAATAGTTTACCCTATAAAACACAATGGAAACATATTTTAATATTTATATCCAAAGTGACTTGCAAGGTGTATTCACATCAGGGGTTCAAATGCTCAAGCAGTTTTGATATGGGAACATTACTGTTAATCAAGAACATGAGATGACTTTTGTTTTAAAAGAAGCTTATTTAAGAGAGAACACCACTTTTGCTCGAAAAAAGCATAAAGTCAGTCCAGTCCTCCTACCTTTAAATCATACAGGAAGTTGTGTGTAATTTGTACAGAATTTATATAGCAGCAGATGTATGGGAGTTGAATCAAACCTGACTGCTTGCTCACTGCACTCTCTGACCTTCAGATATCTATCTGAGGCACTTTAAGTCAGAATCTGTGATTGTGGCTTGAGGACATGCAGGTCGCTTTCACTTCTTTGAAAATTGAATAGAAGCCCCTACTTAGATGGGATAACAAATTACCTGAGTGAATGTCCATGTCATGGCTGCCGAAAATGATTCTGAATAAGATTCAGTGTCTTATTTTTTTAGTACTGACAACAATTGAACATAATTCCTCCACACACTCCTATTAATGTAATGCAAAACAAATCTCATTCTCACTACTGTGAAACAATAATGAAAATCACCTTTTCCAGATTTTTAATCTGCATAATTAACACTGGGTAAGACATTTGGTTTTTATGAGATTCATCCATATTAAAAATAAATCAATAAATGTGCAGAATGAACAGGTAACTGTTTGGAAGTCTCACTCCAAAAACATAATGTCGTCACTCAAGGGCATATATGATTATTATCCTCAAAAAGTCTGTCCCAACTGTTTCCAGTCACAAGCCATTTTGTCTAACAACATCAACAGAACACAGCCTTTCTCCTGTGTTCTGTGTTCCAATACAAAACAACTGTATTGAGAACCTAAACCTCTTTAAATCTGGCCAAATCAGCACCATGTGAAACTAACCCGAAGCCAAGAGCACACGTGTTTTGCTTTAGGCTAAGCTCTTGGCATTTAGTGACAAGGTCGACAAATAAGATTCCCTCACACACAGTGTACCCATTTACACATAAAGATACAGCAGACAGAAGCCAAGATGAACAACACAAGTGGCGTTATACCACTGAGAACATATGAATGCTTGTGTGATGGAGTCCTGATGAGGGGTTAGAAGGAAACACTTCCATCTGCTGTGCTTCCAGAAGGTGCTGTAAATGTTTACTTTGTGAACACAGGATAAAGACTCTGAAAGTGCATGGGTGAAATGCAGGTTTGACACAGGTAATGTGTGTGAGTGTGTAGGGCTGGATGATACACTGAATACTTCCTCACAATATATTTGTAATGGTTTTTGTGCTTGTTTGTTTTTTGGCTACATTTAGCAACACTGAGACTATCACAATGGTTTTTTGCTTTTTATTTGGCCATTAAGTTTCCTAAGGGCTGTGTCATTAGATTAGTTTTGCTGATCCTTTTTTGTTGTTGTTGATGTACTGTTCTACTGTTAAATCGACTACTGTTTTAATTCAACGATGATTGTTAAAATGATGTAAGTTTGGAGAAAATACATAAAAAACAGATAGAATATAGAGTACATTAACAATACAATATGGCAAGATATAATAGTTAGCCATATCACCATGTATGTGTCTGTGTGTGAGAGAAGTGAGGGTTACTTACAGTAGCATGTTCCTCTAAGTGGGTTGCCAAGGTAGCGATTTTCAGAATCACATCTGCAGTAATTTAAAAGAAAGAACAATTCGTTTACCAATATGACGCATGCACACAAACAAACTAGATTTGGCACTTTTGACCCATCAACAGAGAAATAGTTCTTTATTAACAAAAAAAAAGAGAAAGAAAAAGAAAATTCTGTCATTATTTACTATACTATATACAACAAGACATTAGTTAATGTTTGAACTATTCATTTAAAATGTGTTTTAAAATGAGCTGTGCTTTAATCAGCATATTAGGATGAGTTCTGAAGGATCATGTGACACTGAAGACTAGCGTAATGACTGCTTAAATTTCTACTTTGCCATCACATGAATAAATACAATTTTAAGATACATTTAAATAGAAAACTGTTATTTAAAACTGCAATATTTCACAATATTACTGTTTTAATTTGCAGTTTCTTGGTGAGTATAAGAGACTTTCAAAAACATTTTAAAAATGTTACCAACCCTAAACATTTGAACAGTAGTGTACATACTGTATCAAAGAACCAAAACTTGTTGATATCAAACACTGAAACTACAACACTGCTTTGTCTCAGAACGATGATTGTGAGTGTTTCTGGTTTGTGGGACTATAAAGGGCTGTGTGGTTGTATATTTTTTATGGTGATTTTTCCCTATGCTGCAGGTAGTATATTCTTAGCTGAGCTTGAGATGATTATAGTGGACGGGCCGTCAGGTGCCCCGCTCCTCTGAGGCCTGAAGAGGAGGATGAGACCACACTTCTGATCAATTCAGACTGACAAACCAAACAAAACCCTTTATGCTTTGCCAAAAGCACAAATCTATCACCCGACTCTCTCAGGATCAGAGAGATGAGCAAAAACCCTATGCAGAATATTCAGCATAAATACACTTTTTATGCGGATGAGAAACATCCATCAGTTTAAACAGTGGGTTAGAGTAATGCTTAAGCTTTCATAAAAGAAAAACTATTGAGACAATCTTGTGTCAAGGGCATAAGTGTTGATAAGTTTTTGTGAAGCACATTTTCTTTTTAATGACCATTCTTGATAAAAAATATATATTCAGTCAGGATTGTAAGAGATTGTGACAGACGTGGAGAGAAAGTCTGTCTGTGTGAAGAACACAGTGGCATGTCTGGTTTAGTTTAAAGCAAACAATCATTACTGGCATGTAAACACTGAGTGTTTATTATTCACCTCATGCTACAGAAGCAGTGAGTTCATGTGTGTGCAAACACGCATGATTAATCACCAAATTGCCCTTTGAAGTGCAGAAGTGGCTGAGGGTCTGAGAAAGAGTACTGCATTGAAATCATAGAAGGCTGCTTTTATTTTATAAAAAAAAATACAACAAAAACAGTAATCATGTGAAATATTCTTACATTTTTAAATAACTGTTTTCTATTTTCATATATTTTAAAATGCAATTTATTCCTGTGATGGCAAAGCTGAATTTTCAGCATCATTACTCTAGTATTCAGTGTCACATGATCCTTCATATTGAAAAGAGTGCACTTAGTATTTTTGTGAAAACCGTGATACATTTTCATTTTTCAGGATTAGGCTACTTGATGAATAGAAAGTTTAAAAAAATTATAATAATTTAAATATAAACCCTCAGTAAGATTATAAATGTTACTTTACTTTTACTTTTGATACTTTTGATCAATTTAAAACCTCCCCGCTGAATAAAAGTATTAATTTATTTAAAGGGGTCCTATTATGCTTTTTCACTTTTTCAACTTTAGTTAGTCTGTAATGTTGCTGTTTGAGCATAAAAAAGATCTGCAAAGTTACAAAGCTCAAAGTCCACTCCAAAAGGCTGGGGAGAGAGGTGTTGTAATAATGTAAAATATGTGAAAAAAAATGTGTTAGTATGAGAGCCTGTTCTAGTACACCCTCAAAACAAAATCAAGACTTTGTAAAAGAGCATAATAGGACCCCTTTAAAAAAAAAAAAACCTTCCTGTCCAAACCAAACTTTTAAATGGTAGTGTGGTAATATGCATTACTATCTATGGGTAGGTTAGACATTTAGTCAAGCAAGATAACGTCTCGGTTACGTATGGTAACCCTCATTCCCTGAAGGAGGGAACGGAGACGTCACGTCGGATAACCGACGAAATTGGGATCTCGCTTAGAGAGACCAATTCACTTTGAGCGTAAACTAAACGAGCCAATGCACATTGGCATGCGATTATTGCATCCAGCTGCTGGCATGCAGGTCCCCTACCCTCTTGATGGAGGCCAATGCCAGCAGGAGCAAAGTCTTCATCGAAAGGAACTTCAGCTCAACCGTCTGCAAAGGCTCAAATGGGCCCTGCTGTAGTGCCGTGAGCACTAGAGTCAGGTACCAAGAGGGTATAGAGGGGGGGGCCTTCTCGCCCCCTTAAGGAACCTGACGACCAGGTCATGCTTTCCCAGCGACCTCCCTTCTACAGGGTCGTGGTTAGCAGCGATTGCAGCGACATAAACTTTAAGGGTGGAGGGAGACAGCCTTCGCTCCAACACTTGCTGCAAAAAGGACAGCACAACTCTGATCGGGCATATTCGGGGGTCTTCTCGGCGAGAAGAACACCACTCGATGAACAGGTTCCACTTCAAAGCGTAGGCGTGTCCCATAGACGGTGCTCTCACTGAAGTGATGGTGTCGACTATATCTTGAGGTAGGTCACTCAGAACCTCCGCGTCCCGTCCAGGGACCAGACATGAAGTTTCCAGAGGTCTGGACGCAGGTGCCAAAGGGTGCCCCATCTCTGAGTCAGTAGATCCTTCCTCAGAGGAATCAGCCAAGGAGGGGCTGTTGCGAGGAGCATTAGTTCCAGGAACCAGGTCCGGGTAGGCCAATAGGGTGCCACCAACAGGACCTGCTCCTCGTCCTCCCTGACCTTGCACAGCAACTATGCAAGAAGGCTCACTGGGGAAACGCACACTTGCGAAGGCCCCGCAGCCAGCTGTGTGCCAGTGTGTCCGTGCCGAGTGTTCCCTCGGCCCAGGAGAAGAACAACTGGCAGTGAGAGGTTTCTGGAGAGGCAAGCAGGTCTACCTGAGCGGCTCCGAAACGTCTCCAAACCAGCTGGACCATCTGGGGATGGAGTCGCCATTCTCCCGGGAGCGCAGCTCGGGACAGCTCGTCGGCTGCCCAGTTGAGCAGCCCAGGAATGTGAACAGCACGAAGCGACCTCAGATGTTTCTGACTCCAGAGGAGGAGGTGGCGGGCGAGTTGTGACATGCGACGGGAGTGCAGACCACCTTGTCGGTTGATGTATGCAACGGTCGCTGTGTTGTCCGTGTGGACTAGTACATGCTTGCCTTGCAAGCGCCCTTTGAGATGGCTCAGGGCAAGGTGCCCTGTAAGACCAGTCTGCCCACTGCCAGAAAAAGGGTGCCCCTGGCTGCCGCCAGAGGGAACCCCAGATCTAGGCAGGGGCACGGGCACTCCGCCCCCTTGCAGGTAACGGAGTCTGGTCTGCAGCAATGGGAGCATGAGTCATCCACGAAAGCCACCTCAACGTGCTTCGTGCCCAGACATGAGAGGCAGCGATCGTGACCATCACCCGGCGCCAGGTAACGGCCGCACCCAGAAACACACGGATGGTACGACATCTTTAAAAAGACGTTCCACACGCATCCACGAAAGCCACCTCAGCGTGCTTCATGCCCAGGCACGAGAGGCAGCGATCGTGACCATCACCCGGCGCCAGGTAACGGCCGCACCCAGAAACACACGGATGGTACGACATCTTTAAAAAGACGTTCCACACGTGAAGCTCTTTTAGATGGAAACTGCTCTTTTAGTGTGCTGAAGCGCACAGGGGAGATGGCCGTCTGCAACACACACAGGGGTAGTGCAGCCTGTTGTGTGCAACCCACTCGACACGGGAAAACCACCGCCGCTGAAGCGCCGTACCACCAGCACGAGAGCCCACAAAGAGCGTGCTTGACTGTAGTTTTTACTCTACATAGAAAGGCCAGGAGCAGAACGATAGAACCGCTCAGCTCCGAAGCGAAAAGCTGAATATGCGCTGCATCTGCTGCCTACTTATACTCACGCTGTGATGAGCAGCAGCTGGATGCAATAATCGCATGCCAATGTGCATTGGCTCGTTTAGTTTACACTCGAAGTGGATTGGTCCCTCTAAGCGAGATCCCAATTTCATCGGTCATCCGACGTGACGTCGAGAGTGACCAACTGAAAGGGAACTTATGTGAAAAAAAAACCAAGTAACAATACATTTTTAAATTTAACCATTTATAGCTTTGGTTACATACACTACATAGTTAACATATAACTTAACACATAACAAATTACAGTTATAGTTCAGACAACAATTCAACAAAGCAATTTTTTACAATTACAAATCAGGCACTGGAAAAAAGTACCCGTTAAAACATATTTTAGCCAATAGAATTGTTTTGGGTTCTGAGGGGAAATTATTCTGTGGGAGGGCAGAATCGTGCATGACATGACAAAAATAGGCAAAAAAGGGTATACAAAGAAAGGCAGGCCCCTCCAGGGCTCCAATAAAATGATATTATTGCAGAGGAACATTTTTAATAATGAGTGTTCACCATGCACAGTGGGACAACCATACATGCTGTGCTCCGATTAACAAAACATTTCATTATAGTTAAAATATTTCTAATTCTCTTCAACTTATGATTGCTTTTAAAACCCATATTTCTTCTTCATGGCTTTACACTGCACTGTGCCATACAGTACCCTACTGTTAAAGCTGTTTTCCTGTATTTTTACTTCATTAAAGAGATGAATTTTTTTTAAATACTTTACTCACCCTCATGTCATTCCAAACCTGTATAAATTTCTTTCTTCTGCAGAACACTAAAATACATATTTTGAAGAATGTTGGTAATCAAACATTTTCAGTTCCCATTGACTTCTATAGTATTTTTTGTCCATATAACGGAGGTCAAAGGGACCCTAAACTATTTGGTTACCAACATTCTTCAAAAGCATCTTCTTCTATGTTCCACAGAAGAAAGAAAGACATACAGGTTTGAAACA